GTTTCATGGAAAAGTAAGAAGCAAAGTGTAGTTTCACAGTCGAGTGCAGAATCAGAATATAGGGTAATGGCTAAGTTCGTGTGTGAGGTAATGTAGATACATCAGCTCCTCACCGAAGTGGGCCTCAAGACCTCAATACCGGCTAAGTTATGTTGTGATAACCAAGCTGCACTTCATATTGCATCTAATCTAGTCTTTCACGAACGAACGAAACACATTAAGATTGATTGTCATTTCATTCGTGAGAAGATTCAGCAAGGTTTGGTTTCTACATGGTATGTGAAAACAGGAGAACAATTGGGAGATATCTTTACAAAGGCTCTAAATGGAGTTCAGGTGAATTATCTTTGTAACAAGTTGAGCATGATAAATATCTATACTCCAGCTTGATGGGGAGTGTTAGAGATTATTTCCTAAAATAGTCTAGTAAATAGAGTTAGCCCTAATTTCTATCTCAATATAGTACTAGTCATTTGTATATATACCTACAAGCTCTCTATGAATAAGATGTGAGAAATACCTTGAATACTTTGAAGTTATAACACTTATGATATCCAGTTTTACGCTATTATGAGTATTAGAGCGCAGAGCCCCAGCCCGACCTGTAGGTCTACTAACATAAAGCGAGGAGGAATGAAAAGAGTACTTCCTTTCATACCGTTGCTCGAGTGGTCTCGTATAGTTGAGTTAACGAATTGATAGTCATATCCAATCCCTATGAAGTGCTTTCAATTTCCAATTTTTTTGTGTTTAGTGAGGATATCAAGATTCTCTTAAGAGAGATTCGAGTGGTGGTTTCATATAAATTAACATAGGATAGTAGTACACTAATATGAGCAGAAACCGAGGTGCTGCATGCTGATCGATCCATGAATTCATGTTACTATTGGTTCACTTGGCAATTCAGGAGTTTTGAACCACCTCATCTAAAATCCTAAAGTGGTAAGAAAGGGGATATATTTATTAATTTAATTTTGATCTTCAACACGCCCCTCTCTTGTGCACGCTATATCATATTTTTTAATCAAATGTCTG